TGATGATTGTATTGTTGAGTTTTAACTTATGCTTTTCATTAAAAAAATTCTCAGAAATTTAAAATCGAAAATAATTTGACAGGATAATACCGCGCTTGTCAGGCATCGAACTGAATGAACTCGAACCTGTGGAAGTTGGTTTGATTTCTTTTCTGATAGTTATCGTTAAATACTGTCAATGATGAATTGCTTTTTACATTAAAATATTCAATTTTTTTCTTTATTATGAAATTTTTTTTGTATTAATAATAAAATAATAAAAAATACGAATAATAAATCAAGAAAAAAGAATTATTATTTGAATAAAAAGAAACAATTGTGTAGTGCGAGATTTTTTGAATTTATCATTTTCAATGGATTTTCAGAAAATAGTTCAATAGGATGAAGTATGGTAGCTGCTTTTACATATAATCTACTAAACCAAAACGATTCAAAGATTGTAGATGTGGTTAAACAGAATATCAACATCTATACTCATATTCTTCTTGATATTATTAAAAGTACTGGTTATAAATGCAAGTTTTAATCCAGATTTGTGCAACTTTTTCTTAAAATCTAACGACATGGTTTAAAAAAGTCTTCGTTAAAACTTCAACGGCTAAAATATGTTTAATGGATACATGTAATCGACTTATTTACTAGTTAAATCAATGATTGAAATCATAATAAAACATACGATATGAAATATAAATCAATAAGCCAAACAGAAATTAGAGCACAAAATAAATGACAATCTATTCTGATTGATTTTAGAAAATTTAGATATGATTGTTATAGTAGAGACCAATTCTAGTAAAAAGAAAAAAGTAAATAAATTAATTCTTGTTGTTATGTTTCCATTTTATGAATCGATATTTTTAGTCTTTATTGAAGGTGTGGGTATGGATGACAGAGAGAGAGAATATATGATTCATCAACATATCCAAACAACATCTACATCCACACCGTATTTTGAATGTGTTCAAGTAAGTCAGCATATAATTTTTCTAGATTCGATTCATTTATGAATGCTTGTTCAAATTGACGTTAATGTTCAATATTCGTTAACTAAAATAAATAAAATAGATTTTTTGTTTTTTGTTGATACAATTGATATTTGCATATTTTCTTTTAATATACCCGCAGATACTATTTTCGATCAGCAATAAGAAATAAGCGATTGTCTGATTCTTTAAAACGAGCACTGAAACGTGATAACATCAATAAAAACCTAAAAAAGTAAAAGATATACAATATTATCTATGAAAATTCATTTTGACATTTCATGGCGAAATTTATTGATTTTGTATTGATCGTCATTCCTTCGGATTGCAATAAAGATTTTTTGTTTTTTATTAATGTTTTACTATTTATCTTTTCCAAATAAATTTTAATCCTATGTGTAGGTCTTGATAATTTTTAAAAAGAAAACTAGGAAGAATATTTAACCATAGGCAGAATTTTACTCATAAGAGGGTGTGGGTGTGGGTATCATTATAGGTCTTGTCTTCACCCACACCCACACCCTGTGATAGACATGCACTTAACATAAGACAAGTTAACACCTATATAGCCATACATAGTGATTTTTCTTTGTGCAATATTTGTCATTGATAATAAAGTCCATTCATTAACTTTAGCTGAATAACGTGCATTAATTAAACCACGAAAAAGAAACTAATATGTGCAAGTAATAATGATAAAGGACGTAATAAAAGTAAAGCTTCATATGGTAATGTTGATGATTGTTTTGTACGTGCATATAATTCTTCAACAAGTTCAATAAGAATATTATCTGATGATGATATTATTGATGAACTATCAATTATTGTTTGTTCTTTATTAACATGTTCATTATTTAATGAATTTGTATTTTTATTTGGTCGTTGTAATAATGTATAAATACATGAAAGTATTAACACCACATATCATTTTTGGGATATTGACCAACTATTAAAAGTTTTTCAAGACTAATTGATATAATTTTTTGTGTTAAATTATCATCATTAATTAATGATAATCAAATATCATATGAATTTAAATCAACTTCATGAATAAATATGATGCATGTGCATGAGTTTTAGTTATTAATTTATAATTACGTTCAATTAAATTTCTATATAATTCATTATATTCTTTTGTTCTTTGTTCAAGTGATATACTAGATTTACATAAATTATAACTTACTAAGGATATTATTAAATCATCTTCATCAAACCATGTACAAATAAATCAGATAGATATATAATTGAACCTATTAATTTATATTACATATATTTCAATTAGAATTTGTAATGATAATGTTAAATCAAAACCATGATGAAAAAATAAGCAATCAAATAAACTCTAAATTATATATTTTTAAAGATGGATGCCAGAAAAGAAAATGTTCATACTCTAATTTTCTGATTGATAGAATTTATTTGAAACTATTGATATAAGCTTTTATCTCTATGAAATAAGATAATTTGCATGTATTATATATCAAATCAAAGTCAGAGAAACACTAGATTTTCTGTTTGATGAAATTAATAATTTAGCAATGAATTTATCTTTCTTTTAATTTAGAGTTCTATTTGTCGATTATTAAAACATATGTGAGACTTACATTAACTGATAATGGTAATGTATTATTACTTTGGATTGATGTTAATATAGTATCATATGAAAGTTGTCCATAGGGTAATAAATCATGTGTACCTAACCGTTCAATATTTGTAAATAAATTATTTGAACTTGTATCTAATATTGATAAAAAAAGAACAGATAAAATCTAGTTTATTTTTCAATCTTGTTATCCTTGTGTTGCATTTGTTTCTAAAGTTTCTTCTTTTTTTTTTAAAATTATTTGTTGTTTGTTTATTTTCATCATTAGATTGTTTTGTGGTGAATTAATTGAAGCTAAAAATGAAGCCTATATTTCTTGAAATTGTATTCTTAATAATCAACCAACTCCAAAATTGTCTTTATATAAATATTGGTAAACAAAATAATAATATAACTATACAATATAAATCATGTCAATAAATATATGATATATATATATATATTTAATTTTTTTTTGTTAAATAATAAAGATGATCTTTTATCTGGTTCAATTAAATTTAAATATGTTTATAATATATTTGATATAGTTAAACCATGTTGTTGATAAATATATTCAAATATTGATAATAGTATTTTCGATAATGTACAACATGATATTATTTGATCTGTTTCACAACTAAGAAATGATGTTTTTTTCTTTGAAATATATTTATATAAATTATTTCTGATAGAAATATTATAAAACGTAATAAATCACGTATATCACCTGTTGAAAATTGACATGTTAATTCAACATGATTTTATATTGTATCAAAATATATTGATAGAGAATCTATGAATGCAATTGAATATGGTTGATTATTAGAAGCATGATAAAAGACTTTTTTCATGAATTGTATTAGGTGTTGTTTCAATGTCATTTTAATTTGTTTCATTTGATATAACTATACAAAATTCTAGGAAAATAAACAAAGAACAGATTAATATTGTTTCTTATTTTCTCAAATCAATTTTCATTTACTATAAGAATCATCCTAAAAATTTAATGCTGTGGAAAAAATCCAATACGTTTTCGGAGTTCACGAGTTCAAACTTATAGAAAGTTTATCGAAATTCTCGAATGCAATTTATTTCGAAATATAATATTAGAAAGACGTCGTTTTCTTTAATTGTAATAGTACAAATAGCACGACTGAGAATTTGATCAATAAGATTCGAGAGGAATTATTCGGTCATTGTACTAATGTAGCTTAAATGCTTTCCTTTACGATTTGTATTACCTGAAATTCTGCATATTTTCTATTTCAAAATATTTTTCGAAATTTTGAATTATTCAAAAGTCTCATCTATTACTAGCACATTAACAATGTCAAAGTAAAAAACAAAAATTTCTTTTAATTGGATTAAAATTTTTATTATACATATATATTTATTTATTTAGATAAATTAAACTAAAATATACCGGTGACATCATAAATGATAATCATTTTTTATAAGTTAGATTTTTAAGCATTTGTTCATAAATTTTTCTTGTTATATCTATAGGACAATTAAGATTATTAAAATCTTAAGTAATAATATTGATTGATATTGTTATTGATAATATTTATAAAATTAATGGTAAATATTTAGGTAATAATTGTTTATTTAATGGTAATGGAAGAAATTGTTCAATTAATAAAACTAATATAAGACCACTTTCATATAAATGTATTGCTTCACAAAAAAAATAAATGACTTGCAACTGATGTATGATGTATAAGATAAACTAAAAAATAATAATAATAATTGATAATGTGTTGTTATTGATGTAAAATGTTCAACATATAATTCATGATGATATATTAAATCACAATAAGATTGTAATTTACTACTTATAGATAAATGTGTTATTAATGATGATGGTGTTAATGTTGGTGACCAGCATGCTTCTTGTGTATAACCAAGCATATTAAGAATATGTGTCCATTGCAATAATAATGAGATATAAAATAATGATCATAATAATTTAAAACATTCATTTAAAATAGTTAAATATGAAAATGTCTCAAGACAATGTAGAGTTTCATCATGAATTCATAATCGATGAAAACCATTTACAATTGTTCGAAATTGTTTAACTAAAATAAAATCATAGATCTTATATAAGCATAGGAATTTTAAAGTCAAATGTTTTTCGCTAGGTCATTAGTAATTAATGAATTGCAGGAAAGTTTTATCTTCAAATTAATGGGTGATATGTACATAAAGATAATCGGATGCAAGAGAAACTAATGTCATATTGATTTGACCACATAATTGTCGAGTATTAGTTAAAATTCATAATATTATATCATGTAAAACACGAAGAAAAGCTCTGAAAACAAAAACGAGAATAAAAGTTTTTAAATTATAAATAAAATCATTTCGAATACTTACCTACTAAAAGTTTCATCTCATGTTCCATTAACTGATAATAAAACATCATTCTATCGTGTTAATATAGTATATTCAGTTAAATTTTCTACAAGACATCGAAATATTATATTTATATTGATTAACTATCGATTTGTAGATTGACAATTGACATTCTAAAAAAAATTTTGAACTACAGGAAAATTTTATAAATAAAAACAACGGACATTTCTATTTACTAATGCTCGAAAAGCAACAACAAACGGATCAATTGATCGTAATGCAGCTGATGAGACAACATCAAATAGTGTTAATTGTGTGGAATAAATATCCAAAAGTGATTGATCCTATTTGAACAAAAAAATAACTTGAGATTGTAAATGAGCAAGAAGTAAATCGACAATTTGTCGTGAAAGACGTTCCCATTTATCATCTTCAATTTGAACACTATTAATAATAACTGTGAACAATCGTAAATCCTATAACAATATAAATTCTATTATTATTTTTTCAGTACATACACATGACATGAAAAGATACTTTTATTTATAATAATTAAGACGCCAAGTTTTCCTTCAAACTCAAATACATAACAACAAGATGATTATTTTCAGATCATCAATTCGTTGAAGTGTGGGTGTGGGCTCAATCGAGGAGAAAGATTACATCTACACACCCACACTCACACCCTCTCGAGTTTCTAAGATATTTGAGACCTTATAGAGAGACACTTGTTGTTCACTCTCATTTAATAAAACTTTTTAGGAATTTTAATTATTTGCATAACTCGAACAAGAAAAAAAACCATACAAAACTAGTTTTAATGCTGCCAAAGCTAAATAAAGAATTTTAACGATAATTTATTTTTCTCAAAAATGTTTTTTTTGCTTCCTACCATGTGTTTCAGGTTCGTGTCCACTTGCTAATAATTAATCATAATGTTTTATTAAATCTTGTACTTTAATAAATTGTTTTGAATGAAGTGTATCATGTGATAACATAACAAGAAATTCAGCAATACAATAAATAAAATGCTATTTAAAAATAAACGAAACGATTAGAAATGCAACGAATTTCATCAGCTTCTAATTAACTATTATTAACACGAATTAAAAGTAATTGAACAAGTAAATCGAGTGTAGCAGCTTGAAAATCACTTTCATTTGTATATTAATATATTTTTAAAGACTAAATTTTTAGTTTAATAAAAACTAAAATAGAAAACAAAAAAAAAGAACAGATCAAATTCGTTTTTTTGTTTATTTTACTGTCGTATTGCATTATTTTCTATGAATTGCTCACTATTTGTACTTGATGCATAACGTGAACCAAATAAAATAAATTATCGATTGTCGAATATTTATTGTATGAATATAAGTTAAAGAATTATTTAATGATACTTGTGAAGAAACATTTGAAGATTTAATAAAAACTAAATTAAAAGAATATTTTTAAATGAATGTTGTGTTAACAGAAAAAATGATTTTCAAATTTCGAACTGATAGTGTGTCTTGCAGATCGCTCACGTAAACTAGATGATTTAATACTCGAATTTCAAGATAGAACCGAATCAAAAGATCTGACACTTTCACAACAAAACTAATCTCGTTATGATAATCGATATTCGTAAAATCAGTTTTTCTGTTACTATGACATTCTTATATTGAAATTTTCCTTCTCTAGGAAAGACCCTTTCAGAAACCTTCATTATAAGATTTCCATCTAAAGTTTTATCCATAGAAAAGTTTCAGACACAATACAACATCCTAAAGGTTTTAGCTTAACCAATGAATAAAAAAGATTAATAATTGAAATTTTCTTTACAATAAATATTTACTATTTAAAAGAAGTTACCTTTTGTGTACATTGAATGTTGATTTAAAATAATTAAGAGACAATGCATGAGCGCCTCGAGTATGACCATAACATGATTT